AGCATTGACCCTTTTACATTAGGGGTTTTCGAGCGCTTGACCGGTAAATACCATTTACTGTACCAATTTAATTTAAGAGGTTTGGTAATTCGTGGTCATTACCTAAAAACGAGCCCTTGGTCTTCGTTGTGACGTTATTCTTCAACATTGACAAGCAGTGGTATTTACCGGTATTTACACAACTTTCGACCTGTTTTTCACCTCCCACCATTTCTGTTGATGACAATTGTCTTGTGTTAGTCCAGTGGTCCAGTCCCAGTTTCAGTATTTTAAATTTGTAATTTAAATAATCATCATGGATAGAAGAGAAAGGTTCCAAATCCTCTTGAACTATGAGGGAAAAGATATTCAACGTCAACGATATGGATACAGCCCAAGGATTATTAAATGCATCTTCATCTTTGAAAGAAACGAGCGAACCAGAAAAGAGAAAATTAATTGGAAAATAATAAAAATATAATTGTTTGGTTAGAGCTTAAAATGTAAACAAATACAAGGGGATTAAGGGGAAGGGAGAAGCAGACAAATTTGACAGATCAAAACCAAAATGATAACTAACAACCAACTAATTTCAAGCGTTTTGGAACTGCTTTGACCATAAACGGTCAAACAAACGTCAAAGGACTGTGACCCAGGACAACCAAGGGCATGACTGCGGTATTTACCGGTCAAGCGCTCGAAAACCCCTATTATATTGCCAACATAATGTCATTTTGACTTTTATCTTTAAAAAAAAAAACAGATTTTAGTCACATTTGAAAATAGAATTTAAATTTATCTCATCAATCAATCTGCAACTCCTGTAATTATTGTTGAACTTTCATAAAGGAAAAATGTAAACAAAGCCTAATAAAATCAGGGAAAAATTAAATATCTATAGAAATTTTGAATGGAAAACTAAAAATAAGCGTGAAATAGTTGAAGGCAATTTTGGCATGTAACACTGCTTCCAATTGATTGGAAAATAATGATTATTAATTACTCCAACCAACACGCCCTATGGCGTTACGACCCAACACGAAACACCCTCCCCCCAAAGAAAAACACTCAGTTACAATCCGTTTCCAGTAAATTAAATTCTAAAGGCCCACTGATGGTTGCAACCGGTTCCGGCATGCACACGCGCTGCTGACGTTTCCTGAAAATGACAGGTAATTTTCTTGCCGCTCTATAACTGACCTAATTGGCTGGTTAAAATGAACCGAGCACCAGTTTGCGTTTACGGTATTATCTTAACATGTTCAACAATTATTAAGTACGCCCAGGTAACGACAAATAACTCCGGAAAAATTGGGTGTGGTAATGGTTTAGGGGCAGGCAATCGTTGGGTGCATTAAAAGTTGAGAAAAAGGGTTGATTTCCTGAGACGAGAACTCACTTATTTTGTAATATTTTTTGACCGGATCAGAAAAAAATGAAAGATAAAAGTCTAAAGATTAATGCTGTTGTTTTAGTTTTTCGAAAAAAAAATTTCAAATTGAAAATACCACGACCTAAATACTCGAAAAAAAGCATCGTTTCTATCGCTCGGTATATCCAAGCCCAAAGCTCTTTTCAGAAAAATAAAACAAGAGCATTATTCTAAATTTTATTATCTTTCGAAATTTTCTTGATTCACTAAAAAATATTAAGTAGTTTTTGAGATCTCGTCTCAAAACGTAAGCCCTGCAAACACGGAAATTCAAAAATTTTGGCTGCAGCGAGGTGCTGCCTCTGGCGGATTCAATTTCGCACCGGGGTAAGTAAAAATTACACAACGGGAGAGCACTGCGAGTTCAGTTATTAGTTTGTTTATGTAAATTGTGGTGAATATTTTTCATAATGAACTCAAAACGAACAAAGACTACTTCATTAGAGTTCAAGAAACGGAAGAGGACATTATATAACATAATTAAATATAATAGGTAAGTACCTAATAATTATTTCTGTTGTGATAATTATTTATTAAGGTCTTTTGATGTTTATTATGGCGTGCAACCAAAATATTATTGAATTATGCTTTTTCTGTGAGCCCATCAAGTTGTAAAACTTTATAATAGATAGGTCCGGAAGTCGAATAACAATGCAATTATTATGGTGAAATTGATTGATTGATTTAGGAGGGGGCGTGAATTATTATACAACTTAGATTTAAGGAAGGCGCCCAATTTAATCCATCCATATTTTACAATCCAAAAAAATGCAACGGTTTTACGCGTCATTTGTCGTAGCACGGAAATTTATTTTGCTTGTGGTACATCTCTCTTTGTCAACCATCAACAATACGAATATCGATAATAGTTGTATTCCTTTCACACCTAGGAGGAGCTCCGGAACAGCTCCGGGGCTTCACGCGCTTATTCCTTTCGAAAAGTTTTTGTTGCACCACGCATCTGTTCCCTGCAAATCGGGGGCTACTAAACACCGGAGCGAGTAGCTCGAGTGTTTCAAACTCTTGAAAGGAATACAACTAGTAATCATATAAATTATGTGATAAATTCAAGTATTGATGACGTAGCGCCCAACATTCGTTAGCCAGAGATTAGCTTCGAGTCGAGCTTGGATCCGACCAAACTGAGCAAGAGGCAAGAGCACTGTGGGCGACGTGGGCGCTCTCTGCATGCTGCATGCATTATCTCTTTTGACTCTTTTCTATTTAGCCGATTACGGAAACTAAAATCGGGTTAACCCGATCAGCAGCTGAATGTTTTCTGAATTCTATTTTTCCTTAATGAATACGATTGAAAAAAGCCAAAATAAGTCTGCTGGCGATCGGGTTAACCCATCATAGTTTCCGTAAACGGCTTTTACTTTTACTATAGCTTCGTGAGCGGTAAGGATTCTGAACTGGTTCGAAACTATTTCGCATGCGTAGTTCAAGTTCAAGTTCGCGGATCACAAAGTTCAGAACTTTTAGTTACGGTTCTGGATTCGCGGATCAACCAGAATCGGCTCGGAACCGTTTCTGAACCAGTTCTAGCGGTCCTAGGATTTTAAAATCTGTTTTTTTTTAAAGATAATTCCCCAAGTCAGAAATTTAGTAACTATGTTGGCAACACAAGCCTTTTCTACATAAAAAATTTGAAAGCATTGACAATTTTACATTGTATTGCCAACCTAATGTCAGTTTGACTTTTATCTTAAAAAAAAAATCGCACTTTAGCAAGAACTTCGATTGACACATAACGTTCGTTTACGTATTAGTCTGGAGAACTCGTTTTAAAACTGTTCGCCAAAAAATAATGTTGCACGGAGGTGCACTCAGTGCAATTTTTACATTCCATTTGACTGCACATATCAGTTTTTATTTTCCATTTGATATCCAGTGCAGTTATAGTCCCCAGTACATCGACCCTAAAATTTTGTAACTCATGTACACGCCAAACTGAGCGGCTTCATAACACCAAGTCGGACAATATTTTTCATATCTCCACCCTGGGCGATGGGACCTTGCCGCGCTAGCTCTTCGTGAAGTTGTCGTTCTGACGTCCCTAAGGAAGTTGATACATGTACGTGTAGTTTCAATGCCAATCGACTGTTTTTTATATAACATAAATGATATCATATATGTCGGACAAAAATCACGTGGCTTCGGGGTGGTCCGACGCCCTCAACATGTCGCTGTGGCGTTCCTAAGGAAGTTGATACATGTATGTCCGACAAAAATAATTATGAATAACTATGTAATTTTAGAACATGTGTAGTAAATGTCGGACAAAAAAAATGAGTATTAACGTCAGTCGGACAACAAAAGTACAAAAAAAATTGTAACCACATAGCATACTCCATGTACTTACCTATGATAATTAGGCAATTCAATCCATCTGTCAAAACGAAAAATTCAATATGGCGTGGCGGCCAGCAAGTTTGTTTTGAATATGTATTTTCATGTATATTTTAATTATTTTGCTTCGAGCTTTGCTTGCAGCTTTGATTTTTATTATTTGGTCGCCATACACACACGTTCACGTTATTTCGCGCGGTTTATCGTGGCGTGTTGGGATGTAGCGGTTTGCATGCGCGAAAGAACGGCGTGGCAAAAAAAGTGTCATGTTCCATACACTTGACAAAGTATTCAAATGATTTTGCACGTGATTACGCGGGGCATATCATTTTCAAAGGAAAAATCGTATCTGTGTGGGCAAAAAGTGTCATTTATCGTGTCGTTTGAAAGGGCATGTGGTCATGTACGAATTTTTAACGTGATAGTTCGTTACTCGGCGTTCATGTTTTCGTACTAGCCTCAAAATCCGTGACGTGGAATGGCTTGTGAACTGCACTTATCATGTACTTGAGTACTGACGCCACATTCCAGATGAAAACACGTGTGAAATCCCTTCCCATTCTATCATTGCGCGTAGTCCTCGTCACTCACGCACATGATTTTCCACAGGTTTTTGCAGATGACACGATAAACCGCGCGAAAGAACGTGTGTCTATGCCGGCCTATTCAATAAAATATTCGTTTACTAGGTACGTAAACTATTAAGTCGGGCAGAAACTAGACATTTTTTTGTGTTTTTTGGTCCATGTGTGGCCGCCACGCCATCTTGAATGTCACGTGGTTTGAATTGCCTAATGTAACCCATACTTTGATTGTTATTATTATATTTTCTATTATCAATATTATTATTATTATTGTTATTATTGTGAACAATTAGGCACTAGCAAACTTAATTCGAAGAAATTCTATTCAAGTAGGGTGCCAGGTTTTTCCAGAATCCGTGACAATTTGTTTGTTGATGCGCTGATCACTAATCTCAACATAGAAAAGCTAGCTTAAATTTGCGGCATTTAAAATTTATAAACAATTTAATTAAATTTGGAATTTGCAGCTGAAATATAGATTTTTTAGAAAAAACACATACTTTTTTGTAAGTAGGTACATCTTTTCAAATGCTGATGCAACAAACTTTTTCCCATAATATAACAAAGTTTTTTCACATATATTTTTTTTTAATTAAATTAAATTAAATCACATCAAAATATACCAAACTAATATTGATCAATTTATTAAAAAACTATTCAGTATCTGATTCATCGCTCATCTCGTCATTATCATCATTTTCGTCATTTTCACTGAAACAGCAATCACTTTCATCATCGTCTTCCTGGTCGCTCATATTAGTGGACCCATTCTCATCATGTTCTGCGACGAATATAAAATCGTTATGAAACATGCTAAATAGCGAATTATAATGAAATATATAATAAAAATACCTGTAGTGTACAATGATACATCATTGAACGATGGACTTGCAGGCCCATCGAACCAATAATATTCATACTTTTGATCGATCAATGTCCATCCACATTCTTCTGGGATCTTCTCCGTAGGAACTCGCATATGTGCATTACACCATATGCTACTAATGTACATTGTTCTTTTTATTTGTTGAAGTAATTCTTACTTACTGGGGGGCAAACACGAAGCATCGCAAGATCTGATTTTTTTTTTTCAAAATCTCTTCTTTATTGCTGCTACATTTGTAGGTTTTTGCAAATAATTCGTAGCGACCTTTATCGACGTCATTTTTTATTTTTAATGAATACATTCTGCATACGTACTCTTCAATCATTTTATAAAGTGTACTCGAGGTGGTAATTTGAGACGGTACAGACTGTATGAGGCTGACAAAGGATTCTTGAAATTTTACATCTTTTTTCAAAATTGCAAAGGGTTTTTTTTTTCCTTTTCGATAAAAAGCAGGATTAAAATCGTTGCCTGTGAAAATGTGACAAACTGCTAGTGAACGTGAGAGCATATCCCCAAGATTTTCATGTATAGTGTTGATATTTATAAATGATTTTTTCTTACTTGTACTGAGATTGATTATTATTTCTGTATTTCCTCTGCGGAACTTAAAATTCGTCAACATTATAACGGGGATGTCAGAATCAGTACAATGCACTTGCACGCGATAATTTTTGTGCAGCTGACATACGTGAAAAACTATTTTTGTGTCGGCTTCCTCATGAAAACAGGTGAAATCATAATCAATCTCTCGCAGCATTTTGTTATTGGACACCTTATAACTGTAACATCTGTCGTAGTTCAACATGATTTTTTTGCCCACGCAAGCAAGTACATGACCATCACTCGCCCAATCTTCTATTAAAAATTCAACAAATTTTTTTTTTTGCCACTTCTCAACAATTTACTAAATTCAACGCGACGTTTATTTTCGCGTTTTATGTCAAAATATATTTCTTCTTCGCCTCTTTTATCGTGCTCATAATCTTTGATGCTGGGTGTTCGAAACAAATCAAATACAATGTGTGCCTCCTTCCTATTCTTTGAAATTATGTTCAAAATCAAGCTTGAAATTTTTCCATAAGTATCTGGTACATTTTTCAACCTATGTAACAGATAAAATCCATCTATAATGTGAATATCGGCCTCTGGAACTTCAATGTGTTCTGATTGTGCTGTTTTCAGATAATTTATGATGACAGATTTTTGGGTTTTACAAATACTGCCCTCTAAGTGACAGAAAGAAAAAGACACTGGAACAAGAGGATAACTCAAGGCCTTTTCTAAATCAATGTTTTTTTCGAGAGATGCGCATAGCAATCTGCCAAAAACATCTCTCTGTATTTTTATTTCTTTGACCTGTCCTGCAATTTTGACTTTTTTTTTGTTACCAAAATTAAAATTTATAATTTTATTTTTAGAAATGGGTTGATCAAATCTTTCTGGTTTCTTTAGGCATTCGGAAATAAATTTGTTGCGTTGCTGTTCTCCACTAGATTCCACAGATGATAAGAATTCATAAATTTCGTCGCTAACCGTTTGCCCTGATGATACGTTATATAAATGTGATTTTTCCAAATTTTTTGAAAAAGGATTGGTACAGTTTTGCATAAAGTCAAGTAATGTAACCAATTTTTTTCGCCAATGCTGTATTGTTGACTTTTTTAAATCTTTCACGGTGTCGTCTCCTTTTTTCATACCACATAATTCCGTCATCATTGTTGTCGCATGCGTTCTTACTGCGTGGGTAATTGACCATCTTTGTCTTGCGGAAAAAGAGTCAGTTAAATTAATCACACCAGAGGCTTTGGAAGCCGCATCCGCATTGACTGTTTGCTCCAATGATAAATCTATAGGTATTCTACAAAACGGGTTGAGTGTGCGGCGAATGCCCAGCAGACATTCTTTACAATCATTCAATAAACCGGGATGCGTTTCTTCTATTTTATTTAATTTGTCAGCGTAAAGGGTTAGATACCTCGAATAATTTTGATGATTCATGGTGAAAAAAAGGTTTGTTAGTTTGGGTAACATGTATTTGAAAAGTTCAAAATCTGAAGTCCGAATACTGTACTCAAAAATCAAATAATAATCAATGAGCTGGACGTACAGTCAATACACTTGTGGTGTTTTACCATGCTTCCCTTTGAGAGTGTCTTCTTTGAATTTTTCATATTCATCGAATACCATATTTGCAATTACACTTGTGATTCTTGGATTGACTGTGTTTATAGTATTGAATTCCACAATGTGCATTTTAAGCTTTTCAATTTCTACTTCTGGAAATTGTTTGTCAACAAGGAACCTTTCAAAATGCAGTATTTGCAAAGCAAGAGATAATAAAGGGTGGAATTTACGACATCGATTAAAATGCTTTCCTTTTAAAAAAGTGTATGCTGAACCATTTGCCATAATGCCACTATCTATTAACATGTTCACTAATCCAGACCCGTCCATGAATTTGCCAACTGCTTTATGATACGACATCATAGTATGGAAAGAGCCAAAGTGAATAAATAGGCTCGAAAATTGAGGCTCCGCGCTTTGTATTCTCAAAGCAATTTTAGCCATGGCTAAATCGTATGTCACGTTGTAATATTCTTTTCCACACTCTGATGCTATCTGCAGACTTCTTAACATGGTCTCTTTCACTACATCAGGATTCGTTGGCGAACTATTAATTTGGAGCAAGTATTCTATTTTTTGCATAGGACTTTCATCTTTAAGTATTCTTGAGATGTACCCAGCCCACATGGGCGTGTTTGGTACTTGCAATTTTTGTGAAAGCAACCAACAAAAATTAATTTGCTTTATAGCTTTCAGATTTTGAGGAACTGATGTTGTGGACACTACGCTGCTTGACCAGAAAGTAGGGCGACTTTGTTTGGCGTGATGAAAATCATCGGAACCCTGAAGCTCGAAAGATCTTTTTCTGCGATCTTGTGCATTACGAATGCTTGGTAAGAAATTACTTGATCTCTTGTCGATGAAAGAGGTGCTGTTTATCAACTCCAATTCCATCCTTGTAGGTATGCTTTGATACATTATACCTACGGTGTCGTGCAACGTATCTTTTCCAGCTGTTCCTTTGCCCGATGTCTCTACAAATCTGTCAAAATTATCCCATGCTACTCCAAACGGTAAAATATTTGTTGGATAAATACTTGAGGGGCATAATTTTTTGCTCGCGACACAAGAATAAGCCACGGATGTCTCCAATTCGACGAGCGTTGAGTAGCTAACACAATACCCAAGCTTGCTTAATATATTGATCACTTTCTCACTGCCCGTCAGACTTTTCATAGTGAGTCCTAATAGAATGTGTTTGCTTGGCTTAGTGTGACCCCTGGTAAAGCGAATCTTGTGAAAAGTTGGAAGCCAATCTATCAGTGCGATCGGTAGTTTTTTTGTTAACGCCACTTAAAACCGTCGTCCAAAATAACTTTAACCATCGAGGCGTTTCCCATTCACCTCTCTTCAATGCTGTACTATCCAAATATTCAGGCAAAGGCGTAGACTTTACTTTTAATATATTGGCACGATATTTCATGGCAAAATCCGCAGCTTCTTGCTCGAATATTATTTCGCGAATTTCTGCATCATTGATTTCATTTATATTCATTTCCTGTGACATAAAGTAGGTTTTTTTATCCATAATGACACATTTGATCTTCGATTTCAAATTCTGTTGTATTTGATTGGATAGATTTATGATGCTATGACCAAAGTAATCATTTTGCAGACCTGCCGCCACATGTAACTCGTCCAAAAATTCTATTAAGCAATGTTTTAAGTGAGTCAATCACAAAATTCTTTTGTTAATAATGACTTCCTCAGTAATGTAGTTGAATATTCGCTCACGAGCTGCTTGATGGATGTTACGTTTAGCCGACCATGTTGTTTCTTTGGCTTTAGATTGTTCATTTGAACATTTGCCATAATAAGAAGTACCACACACCTTATGGTATGCTAAAATCTTGTTAGGCTGTGCTTGTTCCAGAGCAATTCTCGACAGCATTTTTGTATCATCTATCGTTGTGGCGTATGATTTGATGGTTTTAAAATATCTATCTTTTGCTTTGGAGAGAATACAACCTGTTTTTCGTCCTCTACGTCCAATGCGACGTTTACCACAAAAAAAACATGTCTTTGTTTCTGAATCATCTTTTTGGTTTTCATCTTCCATTTTATTATCGTCATTGTCGTGGATATCACTTTCATTACTATGAAATAAAATTCTTGATGAGAAATTGCTCAAACGGGAAGTTTCTTATTTAAAAAAAAAAAAAAAAAAAATCAGATTATTTTTTTGTTAGAGATATCAGCTCTGTTCCAACCAACATGAAAACCGTTCCAGAACCAGTAAATTTCAGTTGCCCACCTATTTTTCAATAGGTTGAATGTTTATCCTACTTGACAAATGAATTCATCGACTGGAAATTATTACCGTTCTAGAACGGTTCTCATGTCGGTTGGAACAGAGCTGTTATAGGTATATGTACTTACTCAATAGGATTTTCATGAACATCGACTAAATCGAATGTACTTGTCAGATGGGAATTTTCTTCTTGCGCAGTCGTGGCGTCTTCACTATTAAGTAAAATAATAGTTTCTTATATTTTTCAAAAAAAAATCAGATTTTTTTTTCTTTTCTAGAGATATTAGCTCTGTTCCAACCGACATGAAAACTGTTCCAGAACCAGTAATTTCCAGTTGCCCACTTTTTTTTCAATAAGTTCAACGTTTATCCTACTTGACAAATGAATTGGTCGCCTGGAAATTACCGTTCTAGAACGGTTCTCATGTCTTTTGAAACAAGAGCTATTATTATAGGTATTTACTCAATAGGATTTTCGTGAAGATCGTCTAAATCGAATGTACTTGTGAGATGGGAGTCTTCTTCTTGCGCAATCGTGGCGTTTTCACTATAAGGTAAAATAATAGATTTTCACTAACAAGAGCAAGAATATGAGAAAAACGGAGCAAACAGCTGATCAACGGTGTAGGTACCCAGAAGCAATAGAATTTAAAGATTTTAACTAAAACGAAATTTATTTTGGAACTTACCTGTCACAGTTTAAATATGATTTTTTAACAGAGAACTCTTTATAACAAGTTGAATGGTAGCCTGTTGTGCCATCATCCCAAGTATCTGGCAAGATAGCATCGTTGTATTTATGGCCATGGTATTTACATATTTTTTGCAGGATGTCAATATTTCAGCAGTAAATTGTTTAACTTCCTCTTTTTTCTGCCGAAATTTAGGATCTTCACTCCTAAGATTGCACAAAAAACACAACTGGATATCCATTGTTTCTCAAACGCGTGGTTTTCAACGAATTATATAATTTTAATTTTTTTATTGATTGTCTCAAATTTCTTGTCCGAAAAATGTGATATCGTTAATGTAATGTAAAAAACCGTCGATTCGTATTAAAAACACATGTACATGTATCAACTTCCTTAGGGACGCCACAGCGACATGTTGAGGGCGTCGGACCACCCCGAAGCCACGTGATTTTTGTCCGACATATATGATATCATTTATGTTATATAAAAAACAGTCGATTGGCATCAAAACTACACGTACATGTATCAACTTCCTCAGGGACGCCACAGCGACATGTTGAGGGTGTCGGACCTTCCCCAAAGCCACATGGTTTTTGTCCGACAAATGTGATATCGTCAATGTAATATAAAAAACAGTCGATTGGCATTAAAACTACACGTACATGTATCAACTTCCTTAGGGACGTCAGAACGACAACTTCACGAAGAGCTAGCGCGGCAATGTCCCAACGCCCAGGGTGGAGATATGAAAAATATTGTCCGACTTGGTGTTATGAAGCCGCTCAGGAAGTTTGGCGTGTACATGAGTTACAAAATTTTAGGGTCGATGTACTGGGGACTATTATGTATGCACTCAGTGCGCATTTTTTGGCACAAGCTAGGCAGGCTCGTGGAGAGCCAGTGCATTCTTGTTTTTCATTTAAACTGCACTGGTGTGCGTTTTTGACAACACCAGAAAAATTCTCGTGCGCACTGAGGGCTGCACTGAGATGACAAATGGAAAACGCCATAAAATTCTGAACCAGTCCGATTCCAGAGCTGGGCATGCGCTCTACGACAGTCCTCAATTATTGTTCCAGACTGGTTCGGAATCGGTTCAAATTATGAGCCTTTGTCGTTGCGTTTCGTTTTGCGTGGTTTGTGAATTGTGATAGACCGATAGACGATGGGCCAAAAGTTAATCAATATAATAAATTTTCTATTTGTTTTACTTTCCCGTCGTCGTGCTTAGCTGTGATTTCGATGCTCATTAGTAAATTGATGCCTGTTAAGCCCAGTCTATAAAGGTAAGTGGATTTAAATTTACTATGTCAATATCCAATAATATTTATTGTTAGGGCAGCTTGAAGAACTATTAAAGTTCTTAAATTAGAATACCTTCATTTATGATTTACTTTAGAATTATTTTAAGTCAAAATAATAACGCTGCGTCAACTTGCATATCGTAAACGTGCACACAGTGCTTCCTATATTATACTGGCCTGGCCGCTCCTGGCAAGACAAAATTTAAATTGTTTAAGCAATTAGATCTTAGTTCTTATTTTCTTCTAGTTCTAGGTGTTATCGTCCCATCGATAGATTGATAAAATGTCGAAGTTAAAGAAAAAACCAGGATCCTACTATCGAAAATTAAAGGAGAGCAGGGAGGCTGAGAAGGTAAAACTAGCTCAATATTGGAAAAAGCTTAAGGTGCCTTCAAAATCCAGTGCATCCACGGATCATGACACCGACGCTACAGGACCTAGTTCAGCAGCTCTAACTCAGGTCGAAACACCTGGTGATGAAAGTTTTGATCCTATCCCAAGTACTTCCGGCACTAGTTCCTTCATTACAGAAAATAGAAGTAGAAGATTACAAATATCACATTATTCCGATTTTGATGATAGTGATGACAATGATTATGACTGCGAGGACTGTGAGGTACCACCCGAACGAATGAAAAATATTGAGAAGAATGCAAGCCAAGATGAAGACCAAATCGAGATATGTTTCAGCGATCCAGCGACTTGGAAATATCCATATGCTCAAAATTTTATTGATTTGTTGGTCAAACATGGACCTGAACAAGACATGACAGCTGATTTTTCAAATTCGACAAGTAATGATAATAGATCTTTTACTAAATGTTGGTTTTTCAAGACGATGGCAAATGGAGAAAAAATATGTAGGAATTGGTTGATGCATAGCCGCACAACCGGTTTTGTCTACTGCTTTCCTTGCCTAGTGTTTGGAAAGCAAACCCAACGTACACCAAAAATTGCTACTCATTCAATTGGATACTCTAACTGGAAAAATTTAAACCCTATAATTCCGGATCATGAGAATAGCCAAGAACATCGCGAATCGTTCATGGAATGGAGAGAGCTAGAAAAACGCTTCAGGACAAAGAATTTAATTGATCAGCAGCTCGACAATAGAATTCAAAATGAAAAGGAAAAATGGAGACATGTCATTAAAGCTATAGTAGGCGCTATTTTATTTTGCGCAAAAAATAATTTAGGTTTAAGAGGCTCCTCTGATAAAATCGGATCCAAAGGAGCCGGTATTTTCCTAAACGCCATAGAACTTGTGTCCAAATATGACCCAGAAATAAAACGACATATGCAGTCCCTTAAATTAAAACACTCAGGCACTGGAAAAACTTCTTACTTCTCTTGGAAAATTCCGAATGAAATTATAGCTTTAATCGCGTCTACTATCAGGAAGAATATAGTAAAAGAAATTCAAAGTGCTAAATACTATTCAATGTCTTTTGACTGCACACCTGATATTTCGCATAAGGAGCAAATGTCACAAGTCATTCGCTATGTCACCATAGCAGATGGTAAGTGTGTAATCATGGAAACGTTTTTAGATTTCATCGATACGCATGAAAAAACGGGATCTGGTTTGGCAGCCGAAATATGGCATAAACTTGAGTCTGACGGTTTAGACGTTCAGAATTGTAGAGGTCAGTGCTATGATAATGGAGCAAATATGGCCGGTAAATACAAAGGTGTTCAGGCTAGAATAATTGAAAAAAACGCCTTGGCTATATTTGTGCCATGTGCCGCACACACTTTGAATTTAGATGTCGCTGAAGTTAGCATCAGATTCAGAAATGAGAATCATGATTTTACAGTCGACCAAATAAGTAGTGCCACAAATAAAATAAATCAAAAAAACTATACTTAAAGATGAGAACTTGGTGGAAATAATACTGGGGGTGATGTACGTCACATACTAAAAAATCATTTGCCCAGGGAGGGGTTAAAGGGGGTAGATTCCGCCCCAAAAAGGTAAATGAGATCAGGTATCGCCAAAATTGGGAGCACCACCAAAGTTGATAGAAATATTGCTTGAATAGATACGAGGGACATATCAAAAAAGCACATGTTTATCTCGGGGTTGAAGGGGGGAAATTCAACCCCAAAGTTGACGAAAAAATCAAACTTCTTTGGAAAATTTTGTAGCAGTTTCAACGTTGGTCCAGTTATTGTTTGGATTGATACGAGTAAAATATCAAAAAAGCACATGTTTATCTCGGGGTTGAAGGGGGGGAATTCAACCCCAAATTTGACGAAAAAACCAAACTTCGTTGAAAAATTTTGTAGCAGTTTCAGAGTTGGTCCAATTATTGTTTGGACAGATACGAGTAAAATATCAAAAAAGCACATGTTTATCTCGGGGTTGAAGGGGGGAAATTGAACCCCAAATTAGACGAAAAAACCAAACTTCGTTGAAAAATTTTGTAGCAGTTTCAAAGTTGGTCCAATTATTGTTTGGACAGATACGAGTAAAATATCAAAAAAGCACATGTTTATCTCGGGTTTGAAGGGGGGAAATTCAACCCCAAAGTTGACGAAAAAACCAAACTTCGTTGAAAAATTTTGTAGCAGTTTCAGAGTTGGTCCAATTATTGTTTGGACAGATACGAGTAAAATATCAAAAAAGCACATGTTTATCTCG